GCATGACCTGAGCAGAAGGCAGATGCTTAACTGACTGAGCCACCCAGGTGCCCCTCTCTCCACTTTTCTATTCTCTGTTTGGAGCTCCTACTAGATGAATGTTGAAACTTCTGCGATCCATCCTCCATTTCCTTGATTTCTTTCATACTACCTACTTCTTAATCCTTCGTACCATAATGTGAAGTAACACCATTGCCTGACTTTTTTCATTGAGTTACTCCAGTTTCTCTTATTGATCTACAAAAGCTTCGTTATATATTAGCGATAGTTACTTTTAATTTATTGCATATTGTAGGGGACCAGAATATGCCACCCCAAAATATGCCTCTTTGGTATAACCATGACTTTGAGCTGATTATTTTGAGAAATGGCAGACAGAAGCTCTAGAAACAGTAGATGTTATCATATCTACCATATCTAAGGGAAATTTACATTTATAAAGGAAATTTCCATTTGTAAGGGTTTCTGCCCTCCCCCCAGGAAGTGCAGGAGTCTAAATCACAAGAAACACTGATCAATAGAGAAAGCAATGACTTAAATCTGCATAACAAACCTTATCCTTGTTTACCACACCTCCCAGGTCACTTCCCCATAACTTGCTCCCAAACCCAGAAGCCCAAACTCCCTTTCTCCTGTTAAGAGTCCAAATTGCTATGTAAACCCAAAGCTCTACCATTGATTTGGAGACACGTGTTAATAGCCTTCTATTTGTTTGTCTCTTATTAATCTGTCTTTTGTTACAAAGCCCCAACCAAAAACCCAGAAGGGTAGAAGGAAAATATTTTTTTCTCCCTTACAGTGTCTCAACATTTTCCCTCAAATTTACCCTTTCAGATTGTTGGTTATGATGGTTTTTGACTCAGAGGAGTTTTTCAGTTTTATATCTTTTAAATATAGCAGATTTATTGCTCACAGCCTTGGTGTAATGCAAAGAAATGCCTCTGCCACCTCAAGATTCATCATATTTCCTAAATTTTCTTCTAGTGCTTTATGAATTTACATTTTTACATTTAAACCTCTAATTTTTCTTGACTTTATTATCTTACATAGAATAAGGTAAGAATTTAATCTTTATTTTTTCCAAGTGGATAGACACTTGTCAAACCATCATTTGGTAGATAACCCATCTTTGCCCACTTGGAAATGAATGTGTATAGATAGGCATGTTTCTCATCCTTCTGTTTCACTAATCTGTTTCTGGGTGTATTCGTTTTCTATCACTCTTATGACAAATTACCACATTCTTGGTGGCTTAAAACAATACAGATTTGGGGGCACCTGACTGGCTCTGTTGGAAGAACACATTACTCTTGATCTTGGGGTCATGAGTTCAAGCCCCACGTTCAGTACAGACATTACTTAAATAAATTACAAAATTTTTTTTAAAAACCCACAAATTTATTATCTTACAGTTCTGTAGGTCAGAAATCCAAAACGCATCTCACTGGATTTTTTTTTTTAAGATTTATTTATTTATTTATTTATTCAACAGACAGAGATCACAAGTAGGCAGAGAGGCAGGCAGAGAGAGGGGGAAGCAAGCTCCCTGCCGAGCAGAGAGCCAGATGAGGGGCTCGATCCCAGGACCCCGAGATCACGACCCGAGCTGAAGGCAGAGGCTTAACCCACTGAGCCACCCACGCGTCTCACTGGATTAAAATCAAGGTGTTTGCAAGCTGTGTTCCTTCCTGGAAGCTCAAGAGAAAACGATTTCCTCGCCTGTTGGTCTCTAGAAGCCGCCCACATTCCTTGGTTAGGGCCCCCTTTCTTCCATCCTCAAAGCAAACACATAACATCTCTCTGACCCTGCTCCCATCCTCACATCTCTTTCTCAGACCCTCTTCCACTTACAAGGGGTTGTGATTACATTGGACCTACCCAGATAACCCAGGAGAAACTATTTTAAGGTCTAGCAACTTAAGTCCACCTGCAACTTCCATTCCCTCCCCATGTAACAACATATTCACTGGTTCCAGGGATTAGGATTGAGAACACGGTCGGTGTGGGGCACTTATTCTGCCTACCAACTCTTCCGGCCCACTTACCATGATTTTAAAGTACATTTCAGTATTCATTACAGCAAAACACACTATTATTGGGACACCAGGGTTGCTCAGTCAGTTAAGCATCTGCCTTCAGCTCTGGTCACAATCCCAGGGTCCTGGGATCTAGTCTAACATCAGGCTCCCTGCTCAGCGGGAAGCCTGCTTCTTCCTTTCTCCATTCCTCCTGCTTGTGTTACCTCTCTCGCTGTCTCTCTCTGCGTCAAATAAGTAAATAAAATCTTTTTTAAAAAAAGTTGTCATCATAAGAAAAAATTTTTGTAACTGTGTTTGATGACAGATGTTTAACTAGACTTATTGTGGTGATAATTTCACAATATATACAAATACTGAATCATTATGTTGTACATTCAAAACTGATGTTATATGTCAATTATACCTCAATAAAAAAAAAGTCATCTGCTCTACCACCTGAGCCAGCCAGGTGTCCCCAAACCCAGCAATATTGTAAATAAGATTATTCTAAAATTCATATGGAAGGGCAAACAAACTAGAATAGCTAAAACAATTATGAAAAAAAAAGGGAGGAATTACCTACCAAATTACAATACTTATATAGCTACAGGAATCAATATTGGGGATATTGGGGATATTGATATTGGGGAAATAATAAAACACATAGATCAATGGAACAAAATAGAAAACCCAGAAATAGTTTCACACTGAGTTTTTACAGAATACAAAAGGAAGGAGTGCCTGGCTAGCTCAGCTGGCAGAAAATGCAACTCTTAATCTTGGGGTCCTGAGTTGGGGCGCCATGTTGGGTATAGAGCTTACTTAAAAAAAGAAAAAGAAAATAATACAACAGCAATTCAGTAGAGGAAGAATTGTCTTCAGAAATGGTGCTGGAGCGACTCAATATTTATAGGCAAAGAAAAAAAAAAGAAAGCATCCCCCTAAACTTCATACCTTATACAAAAATTAGAGGGGAAGCAGCAGGCAGAGGGAGAAGCAGATTCCATCAAGCAAGGAGCCTGACGTGGGGCTCAATCCCAGGACCCTGGGATCATGACTGGAGCTGAAGGCAGACGCTTAACCTTAACCGACTGAGCCACCCAGGAGTCCCGAATATGTAAAATTTTTAAACTTGGGCATGGTAAACAATTCTTTAAAATAACCCATTTTTTTAAAAGATGAAATTAGACTTTGCTCTGCCGGAAACCTCGTTGATGTGAAGTGTGTAAACCTGGTGATACACAGACCTGTACCCCTGGGGCTAATAATACATTATATGTTAACAAAAAAAAATTTTTTTTTAATTTAAAAAAAAGAAACCTCGTTGAGAGGATGATCTCTTCTTGTGGGTGTTAAATACGTACATCTGCATTTATAAGTCCAGGTACTGGAATTACAAGTTAGCCATGTTCTTTAAAAGCAGGCTTATTGAGCTTAAATTGAGCGTTGAGCTGAGTTACAGGCAGTAAGGCATGAAGAAGCGTGAAATAAGGAGTCTACAGTATGAATCAACCACAACCAGCTGTCCTGTGTCTAAATGTGGAGAGAAGAAAGATTATCTGTAGTGGCCTGCATGTGCATTAAAAGTTATCTGGGAAGATAAATAAAAGTCTCTCAAACACCCAAAAACGTCTTTCATAAAGAAACACATGGTGAATTTTAACAGCAATACTATTTTCACCTGGTAGGTTGGCAAGAATCCACATCTCATGACCCAGGCTGCTGTGAAATCGGCACTCATATACATTGCCAGCGGGACAGCAAAACGGCCATGCTGGCTCCTACCTCAGGGTCTTTGCACTTGCTGCCTCTGCCTGCAACATTTTATCTAAATAACCACAGGACTCGCTCCTTCCGCCCAATCTAGGACATGGCTCCTAGTCTTTTTGTCAGAGTCCTCCCTGACAACCCTGTCAGTGGCTCCCCACCTCCCCAGCACCACACTCAACATTACTTCTTTTTTTTTAAGATTTTACTTTTAAGGGGCGCCTGGGTGGCTCAGTGGGTTAAACCTCTGCCTTCGGCTCAGGTCATGATCTCAGGGTCCTGGAATCGAGCCCTGCATCGGGTTCTCTGCTCAGCAAAGAGCGTGCTTCCCCCGCTCTCTGCCTGCCTCTCTGCCTGCTTGTGATCTCTCTGTCAAATAAATAAATAAAATCTTTAAAAAAAAAAAAAAAGATTTCACTTTTACGATTCCACTTCTTTTCCAAGAAGCTCAAGCTCACGACCCCAGGATCAAGAGTCCTGTGCTCCGGCTCCAACTGAGCCAGCCAGGAGCCCCTCACAGTGCTCATCTTTATCAGAAATGATTGATCTCTTTTCCTCTTTTCTGCTACATCAGAGATCAGCAATTTTTTCTTTTTTTTTTCTGAAAAGGGCCAGATCGTAAAGAGCTGAGGCTTGGTGGACCACGTGGTCTCTGTTGCAATTCCTCAGCCCTGCTGTTCTAGCACGGAAGAACCATAAACAATGTGTATATGTAAGTGAACAGGCATTACTGCATTCCCATAAAAGATCTGCAGATGCTGCAACTTAAATTTCATCATTTTCAAGTGTCACAAATTATTCTTCTTCGAATTTTTTTTTCCCAATCATTTAGAAGAAGTGTGCAAGCTATTCTTGGCTCAGTGGCCCTACAAAGAGGTTGCTGCATTTGGCCTGGGAGTCATGGTTTGCCTACTTTGGTGCTAGAACACCAACTACAGAGATTATGGTCCGCTTGATGCACTATCGAAACCCCAGAACCCAAAACAATGCCTGGCACCCGGGAGGCTCTCAGTAGAGGTTTCTGGAGTGAGAAAATGAACAAAAGTACGAGTTGGGTAGCAAGTTACCGAAGGAGTGGACAAGTGAGTGAATGTTCAAGAGCCAGTTCAATCCTACGCTCAGGGCTTATTTACCCTCAGGGCTTGTCTGAACCAAGCCAGGGAGCCAGGCGTCCCCAGGAAGACTTAGAAAGAGATCAGAAGGCGGAGGCGGGAGTTGCAATTCAGCATCTTTATTCTTCCCCTTTAGCTTGAGGGTGATCCTGACAAACAGCTTCTGCCAGGAGAGGCAGAAAGGACTGGGCAGGGTGGGGCAGGGATGCCCCCAAGGACCCAGTCTCCTCCTCCCCCTGGGGTTGGGTTGGGTTTAGGGCCATGATCCGAGCTCAGCATCCCTGGGGAGGAAGGAAGCGGACCACTCTGCAACCTCCGTGGCCCCCACCACCTCCAAGAGCCCTGTTAATGGGAACCAGCCACCTCCATGAGCCAGACTTGAGGGACCCTGGAGAGCGGCCCCATCGTCCTCCACATACATGGGAGCATGCGCACAGGGGCCCAGGGTGGAGCAGGGCAAGGTCAGTGTCCAGACACATGGCTCTGGCCCGTGGCCCAGTTGGCAAACATAAAGCCTAGACTGATTGCCATGAAGAGGACCCCCAGGAGACCAAAACACAGAGCCTGTGAACGAGAGAGAGAGAGAAGATGGGGCTGCTTGGCCCTCCACACCAGAGCTCCTCCTGGAAATATTCCTCAAGCCCTCCATCCCCTCCAGAGTACCCCATTCATTCCTGACCCTCCTGCTCCCTCCCCTTCCTTAACACCAGCCCCTTCCTAAGAATTCTCCATCTTTCCAGAACACTTCAGAGAGCATTCTCCTTCATCCTCCTTGAAAGTGCTCCCAACCCTCTTCTAATGGCCCTCCTTCCACCCGTCTGTGGAATGCCTCCTCTGTCTCGGCAGATCCTACTGGTGCTCGGTCCGCTCAGCCCCTTCCCAAGACAACCTCTTTCCTTCATCCAGACCATCTCCCTCCTCTCCCCCAACCCCCTCCTGAAAATGTTCCTTTGCTCTCTGGCCATCCTGGGCAGCTCCCTCCTCAGAGTGCTCCCTCTTGCCCCCGGCCCTCCCCTAGAATGCTCACCTGGATCTTGGGCCAGGAGCAGAGGGGCTCCACTTCAGATGGCACGATGCGGAGGTAGAAGATGCTAGGCAGGATGAAGATGAGGCTGGGGGCCGAGGTGGACCCTGGAGGCCAAGCAAGAGGAACAGAAGTTAATGGAAGTTTGGAGTAGAAGGCCCATATGAGGTGGGGTCTGGGACTGGGGTTGCGGATACTGACCAATAACCCCAAAGATATCCCGGATGGTCGGCACGCAAATGACAAGAACATTGACCAAGACAAGCAGGATCAGGGCTATGGCCACATGTCGTGGCCAGCTGAAGTCCCTGCTTGGGAAGAGCAGCTGCTGTAGGGCCCGGCGGATCTGCAGTCAGAGTGGGGTGGGACACCAGTCAGGGCTCAAGTTCTGCTGCCCCCCCTCCGTGAGGTCATCTGGATAGAACTCTACCCTCTGAGCATCTGTCTGTGCCTCCACCCCGTGTGAGGTCCCTGATCCCCCCTCCGTCTGACTATCTCCATGTCCACCTGGTCTGAGCATCTTTCCGATAGAGCATCCCGCCACCCTTCTGACAATCCATACCTCTCCCTTTGGTCCGATCACCCCTCGATGCCTGTACCTGCTCTCTGGAATCTCTGCCTCCCTCTAACCACCCTCCTGTCCTTCCACTCCGTCTGAGATCCCTGCCTCTCTCTCCCTCTGACCACCTCTACCTGCTTCCTCTGTCTAGTCACCCCACCTTCCCATCTGAGAGCCTGGTTGTTCTCACGCCTCGCTATTTCTGCCTCTACCTTTCCTAAGGGATGCCGTCCATCCCTGTCTCTTTATTCTGACTGTCCATCTCTCTCTGCCTCTAGCCTGTCTGACTATTCCAGCCTCCCTCTTCTGTCTAGCCAGACATCTGGTGCCTCCTCCCTCCGACAGACTACCCCACCTACCCCCCTTGGTTCTCTCTGTCCTGCCACCAATGTCCCCTTTCTGTCTGACCATCTATTTTTGCCTCCTCTGTCCATCCGACAACTCTGCCTTCCCTATCTGGCCACCCCTGTCTCCTCCATCCATCCATCCACTCCCATCTCCGCCCCCCAGCCAAACATCCATGCCTCCACCCTCCACCCATCCACGCACATAGCTCCACTCCATGCACCCCTGCCCCTTGACCCCACGTACAGGGAACAGCACGACCGGCACAGTGAGAGTCACCGCAAGCAGTACCGCCAGGCGCACACAGAGGATGAGCAGGTCTTGCTGGCTGTACATGTGCAGCATCTCCGCCTCCACGCTATCTGGGCCATGGACATGGGGCACGGGATGCAGGATGTGGTGGGAGCACCAGGACCAGCGTCCCGGAAACACACACGCCCCCACACGCACACACGTCCCCATACGTACATGCTAGGCAACGAAATCTACAATGTGTAACACGCACCCTCTCTTTGGAAACTGATGGGTCCAGGGCATGGAGGCAAACCACCAGGGCTCCTGCCCCAGCGGTCTACCCAGTCCCTGCTCCAGCTCATCCCACCCTGGCCGCAGCCCCACTCACTGTAGAAGGTGAGGTATCCGAAGGTCGCCGTGAGCCCATACATGCAGAACATGGCCCCAATGGACACATTGGCCACCGCTTGCATTCTGTGCTTGGAGGGCCTGAGTCATAGAGGTTATGGAAGGGTCATGCCCAGACCCCTGTACTTGGTGCCCCTCAGAAGAAGCCCGCACCCTCCAGAGTCTCCTTCTTCCAGAGCAGATGTTCAGCTGGTACACACTGGGAGGCCTGTCTCTACCTCGCCTGTGTGGCTAGCCAAGCCTCCCTCTGTCCATCCATCTCACACCATGCGACCATCTTTGTCTATCCCCTCTGACCATCTCTGCCTCTCCCTCGCATCTGACCTCCATGCTGTGGCCCCCATCTGATCATCCACACGTCCCTCCAACATATCCTCCCTGCCCCTCATTTTGTCCACCCGTACCCTACTCTCTCTGACGATCCCCACCTCCCCTTCCCCAACCACGCCTGCTACCCCCTTCATCAGAACATTTCTGCCTCCCCACTCTGCCCTTTCATGCTTGTACAGGATGTTAAAAGTAGAATCTTTAAGCCCTCATCAGTAGAAAGTCACTGCCCTGTACCCCACCCCCAAGGTCACCTCAAACCCTTCCCCCCGCATGATCTAGCCCAATCAAGCTACAACACCAGGACTACCCTAGGGACTGTGGGACGTGAGGACTACCACACCACCTCTGCTCACTTGCCGGCCCACTCACCGACAGAGCTCTGTGTAGATGGGGAGCACCTCGGGATGGCAGACGAAGGCAAAAGCCATGATGGGCACCGTGTAGAACATCTAGGGGAATGGCCCACACCAGAGATTAGAACCTCCAGGGGTCTCTCCCCCCCACCCCCACCCTCCTGGCCCCATCGTTGCCCGCTGTATCAGACACGTGGAAACCCTGAATGGCCAATGCCTGGCCCCATTCTGAGCTGAGTGCACTGGAAGGCAGGACCAGAGCGCCTCGGTGTGGTGGAAGCTCCATACACAGGCCTGCGCCCCCACCTGGGAGTCAACAGTGAACATCTGGGCCTCACAGCTCCTGTTGAGACCCTGGATGGGAAGGCCTGGGGGGCTCTTGCTCTCCACTGCCGTTTCATTGAGACCTACAGCACAGCCAAGCTGGAACTTCTTGTAGATGACCTGGGGGAGGGTGGGGAAGCGAGATCATGGAGAAGGCTGTGTCGCAATGTTCCAAACTCCTTCTTCACTTTTTGCATGTCCTTCTCCCTTGGACTCACCGAAATGAGGAAAAACAGCATACAGGTCAAAGAGAGACCACTGGTATACCCCAGGTAGCCTGCAAGGGGTAACAAACAGAGTCTTAGAAATCACGGGACCCCCCCCCCCCACATAGCAAATATCAAGCCCTAGCTTGGCCTTTCAGGCTATCTCCCCCTAATTAGGCCACCCTTTTGCACAAGCTTTTACTTTTACCTGGACCAGCCTGCCCTCCATAGCAAACTCCTATTCATCTGTTAAAGCCCACCTCCCATAAGCTCTCCCCTGATATTTCACAGCCCTGGAAAATGGGGATTTTTCTCCATCTGACTCCCCTTCTCTTACTCCACTATCCAATGACCAACACAGGAAGCCTCTTACCCAAGTGTCTCATGAGGGCCAGTGGCAGGATGATTAACACACTGACAATGATGATGAGGAGGTTTCCCTTCAAGAACCAGCCCCTAGGGAGACAGGTGAACACAGTGAATAGTTGCCTGCCAAAGAAACTAACAGGCAGACACTCATAGAAGATAGCCGAACAGACGGATTTCTGCCCGCAGTCAGGGAAGCTGAGCTGACACCACAGCCGTGAGAGGTCATTCAGGCCGTCACGGTGACAAATGGCACAACGGGATCCACAGAAAAAGCCAGACAGATAATCAGACTCTTAGTCGAAACCTGTCAAAGGGACACAGCTAAGAACACACACGCACACACACACAGCCGGACAAAACTGTGCTGTCGAGTGGACATAGAACCAGATGGGCAGATGGTACCCTCATCCAGCGAGACTCCCGCAGTCCAACACACGGCACCACACACAGAGTGAGCCTTGACCCTGGCGCGTCTGATGGGTCAAACAACAGTCTGACAATCCAGCAATGGTGCAAAGTCAGACAAGAGGTCAGAAAGACACACAGGTGCGGCGCCTGGGTGGCTCAGTGGGTTAAAGCCTCTGCCTTCGGCTCAGGTCATGATCCCAGGGTCCTGGGATCGAGCCCCGCATCAGGCTCTCTGCTCGGCAGGGAACCTGCTTCCTCCTCTCTCTCTGCCTGCCTCTCTGCCTACTTGTGATCTCTGTCTGTCAAATAAATAAATAAAATCTTTTTTTTTTTTAAAGATTTTATTTATTTATTTGTCAGAGAGAGAGAGGGAGAGAGAGCAAGCACAGGCAGACAGAATGGCAGGCAGAGGCAGAGGGAGAAGCAGGCTCCCTGATGAGCAAGGAGCCCGATGTGGGACTCGATCCCAGGACGCTGGGATCATGACCTGAGCCGAAGGCAGCTGCTTAACCAACTGAGCCACCCAGGCGTCCCTAAATAAATAAAATCTTAAAAAAAAAAAAAGACACAGGTGGTTATTTGAACAGCTTGAGGTGTGTTGAGCCATAAGAGTTGCTGGGCCAACTTGACCACCCAGCCAAAGACCGAAATAGAGGCAAAATCAGCCAGCTTTTGTTGGAACCAAGCTCAAAGAAAAAGTTATGGGGGTGGCACCCGGGTGGCTCAGTCGTTAAGCGTCTGCCTTCAGCTCAGGTCATGATCTCAGAGTCCCGGGATGGAGCCCCACATCCCTGCTCCACAGGGGAGGCTGCTTCTCCCTCTCCCCACTCTCCCTGCTTGTATTCCCTCTCTCACTGTGTCTCTGTCAAATACATAAATAAAATCTTTAAAAAAAAGAGAAAAAGTAGGATCTGTACAGATATTGGAGGCAGGTGCTTAGGCAAGACAATTAATACAGAACTGGCTGAAAACCACTCATTTGTTCACAAAGAATTGTACGAATTGCCTACTATGTTCCAGGCATTCACACAGCATCTCATATACAGAGTGACACAGAAATGAACCGACAAAGCACCTTTGGCCATATAGCTGCTGGGAGCTAATTATAATAATCAGAAACACCTAGTCACACAGATTGTCAGCTACCTAAACGGTTTCAGAGTCAAACCGAAGATCTAAGAGGATACATAGTCAGCCGTCATATACAAACAGCTCAACAGAGTCAGCCAGCAGATGGATCGAAAATCAAACATACCGTCAACTAGATGAGTACTCAGAACGGTGGTCAAACACATGTGGTTAGAACCATAGTCCAGAGGACACACACATATACACGCACGCATGCACAGAGCCAGAGGGAACTTGCCAGAAAAAAAATGACTGCTAAATTAAACAGAGATGGGAGCCTATGGGTGCATACAGTTGGAGTCAATCACATAGACAGAGTTGGCCCCACAGTACACCGCACGCTAAAACTTCCAGCCAGGCAGATTTCGCCAGCCCGAGGGACCCGGAATCCAACAGAATCCACTGGACAGGGGAAAAGCCAGAGTAAGTGAATGTCAGACACCCATGGTTGGAATCACAGCACACAGGACACAGCAGTAGAGAATCTGCTGGTGCAACAGTTCAGAACCAAACCCACAGAGCTTCGGTGTGCTTGATATGGATAGTCACACGGTCAGCCTCGGAGGCGACTGGACATACGGAATCGGCTACCAGACAGAATCAGCCAGATCAACAGTCACCGAAACCCGCACCCCCACCCCGTGGTCCGCTGGATGGTCAGAGCAATGGTCACGCGTGCTGTTGGCCTCACAAAACAGAAGAATCACACCGGCCTGCCCTGGGAGTCAGAAGCCCTGGGAGTCAGCTGGGCACAGGGGTGAAGACAGCAGCCAGACCACACAGGTAGGGTCAATGGCCCGCCGGCCAAGGGGGGTTGCTCACTCACCCCTCGGGGTCCATGTCCAAGAAGGTGCCGATAACCAGGGGGAGTTCGGATTTGATGATGAACAGGTAACTGGACATGGCTGGTGCAGGTGGGGGGAGGTATAAGCAGAAGGATTCCCCTCATCCCCCCAGCCCAACCTGAGGAAGCCCACCCCACCCCACCCTCTTCCCCCGAGCTGATCCCCTACCTCCCAGAGTCCTCACCCCCAACATTGTGCAGACAGATGACCGCCGCTACCACTACCTTCCCTGCAGGCCCCAGCGCCCTCTGTCCCAGCTGTTCATAGGCTCGGATGCCTGGGGTAGGGAGGGAGACAGGAGGGAATGGGTTGTGGGTCCAGGAGGTCAGGCCAGGGTGAGGAGGTGTGGAGGGGGGTGGCCCGAGGCTCAGGGAGCTGAGGAGTTGGTGCTGGGGGTAATTGGGTCTGACTGATGGAAGCTGGAGGTGAGGGGTAAACAGTTTGGGGTGGGCTTGAGGTAGAGCCTGGGAGGTGGGCTCTGTGACCAGGGAGAAGGTTGGGGGCTGGAGGTGGGTAGTAGGTAGTGGGTATCTTGGGGTCGTGGGGCTGGCTTCCACAGTTAGGGGGAGCTGGAGACTGGGGAGTGGGGCTTAGAAGCAAAGTGTAGTAATCTGGTTGTGGGGAGAGTCTGAGAAATGAGGTCTGGTGCCAGACTGAGGGGTAAGGATTGGGAGGTGGGAGATCTGGGAGCCCAGCTAAGTTCTGGGGGCCAACGTGCTGTCTGAGAGCTGGAGTCCAGGGAGTTGAGGATGGGGTCTGGGGTTCTGGGTCCAAGATCAGGGGTATGGTATGCTCAGTGGGGTATGTTCAAAATCTAGGGCTCGGGTTGAGGTCTAGGGTCTCAGGTCAGAGGGGTAGGTCCAGAGTCTGGAGTCTAAGCCACGGGTCGAGCTCCAGGCCTTACCTACAACACCAGCACAGGTCAGCAGGAGATGGATGGAGTATGAAGACAGAAGTGCGATGCATAACAGCAGGGCCCTATGACAGATCTCACAGCTCAGACTTGGCCCCCAGGCCTCCGGCTTGCCCCACACAGCACCCCTGCCCCGACCCCCACAGGCTGCCCAGGACTCACAAGAAGAAGATGACCCCGGTGTGGGCCATGGCATAGGCCAGCCCCAGGACGCCACTGCCCATGATGGCGTTGCTGAGATTGAACACTGACATTCCAAACGACGTCTTCCCCTCAAACTGCGGGGGAAGGGGCAAAGCCCGGGGAACACGTGGGGAGGGAGACCAGGTAAGGAGACCAGGACTGGGGCCCAGGAAAGACCAGGGGAGAAGTGACTGGGGTGGGGAGAAGCCCAAGAAGGGCCACAGGACGGAGGCTAGGAAGGAAAAGGAGTTGAAGTCAGGGAGAAGCTGGAAAAGCAAGAGCTGGGAAGGAAGAGCTGGGAGAAACTTCGGAGGGGAGCAGCTGGAAGTGGAGAGGAACAGGGGAGGGCGGAGCAGCCATCAGAGGCAAAACAGCTAGGGAGGGGAGAGGCTGGGGCAGGAAATTGCTAGGCAGGGAAGCCCAAGGAAAAGGGAACAGTAGGGAAAGAGATGAGTTGGGCAAGGTGAAGCTGGGGCAGATTGTGTGAGGTCACTCACATCCATGAACTCGACTGGCTTCCTCCCAGGAGCAGGAGGATGGCTGGGCAGGAAGCCTTCCCGTTCCTGCCTGTAGCTGGACAGGGCAGAGAAATCGGGGCTGGTGAGAGGGTAATCCTGACCCCTGTCTTCGTCCCTCTTGAGCCCCGGACTCACCCCAGAGCATCCGCAGGGAGGGCTCCGTTCATCTTGGGATCCTGCAGTTCCATGCTGTGGGCAGAGAAAGGGGGGCGGGGGATCAGAGATGGAGCGGGGCGGGGGGGGGGGGGGCTATGGGGGGGGGGCGGGGGGGAGGGGGGGGGAGGCTAGGGGGTGGGGAGAGCTGGATGAAGAGGGTAGAGGATCAGAGAGAGACAGATGGAGAACCAGAGAAACGGAGATGAAGCATGGGGAATGGGAGCAGAGGATGAGAGACAGGGAGATAAATGGAGAGACGTGAAGACAACAGTGAGAGCGACAGAGGAAGAGATGGGAGGCAGAGAAGGGAATCGGAGGGGGAGAGATGCCAACAGTTACTCAGACAAGCAGAAAAAGAGGACAGCGAGAGACAAATAGAGGGGGAGGGGGGAGAGAGATTGAGAAAGAGAGAGAGAGAGAGACCCCACAGCAGACGAGATGGCCATCTGAAGCTGGGATAGCCTCTCCTCCCAGACCCCACACTCACTCAGTCTCTCTTGTTGCCTCTTTCCTTGCTGCCCCCCCCCGCCCCCCCCCCCCACTCCCTCCACCCTCACCGCTTGGCCAAGCGTCTCACTCCTTACAGGGACACGTGTCGGATGGCTGCCCCACCCCTCCTAATGCCCCCTACCCCCCTCCTCCCAGCCTGGGCCCCCAGCCTGAGCCCAGAGCTGATGCAACCTGTTGAAGGAGCTGGGGGGGGGGCGGGGAGCGGGCTTTAAGACCCTAGCTCACACACCCCCACCCCCCCACCCCCGCCCAGGCTGCAAACTGCTCTCTGTCACAACTCTAAATATCCTCACTAGAAGCTGAAGACAATTCTCCAAACGGAGCCTCCTTCCAGGGATACAAGTGACCCAGGGATCCCTCATTTAATCCCCCGTTTAGGAATTAGAGAAGTATTTTTCTGGGGCCCCCATCAAGTCTCAAACATTCCTTCTCCTGGCAGAAGTAACTTAGAGACACTTGCAGACTGGAGACCCTTCCTGGTCTTGGGGTGTCTCAGGAACCTGCCCTGAGCCCGAATTTCCCCTTCTGATAATGTGCTGTCTCTGAGACCTTCATCAAAACCCCCTCCCAAAGCCGGATGCGTTTCTTGGGGGTGGGGGCCGTCCGCAATCCCCAAGCGAGCCTGGAGCCCCGTCTTCTGCATGGAGTGTCTCCGAGGAAACCCCCAGTCCAGAGCTCACTTCCTGGGAGTGCAGTGTCTCAGAAACCCCCATGCAAGGTCCCCATCATAGCTAAAAGTTGCTCCGGGGAAAACCCCCTCCCCAAGCCCTGAATCCCCGTCCTGGGAAGGGGACGCCTCTCAAGGAGGCCCATCCTCAGTCGCGAGCACTCTCTGCAGACTCTCAACCACTTCTGAATTCACTTCCTGGGAGCAAGGCACCAAAAAGACCCCCGCTTCCCATTCAATTCCCCGCTAGCGCTAAAAAGGTCTCTAGGGAACGCCTCCCCCCGGAGGTTCCCCCAGGAAACCTCTCCCGGGATCCCCCCCTCGTGCCTCGGGGTCTCCGGAGCCCCACCCCGGCCAGCGCCCCCTCCTCACCTCCCTGCTCCTCTCAGCTCCTGAAGCGGCAGTAACTCACTAGGGCTCTGGGACCCCACGGCCGGCGCGGCTCCCCCGCCGCGGACCCTGCCCCCGCCCCGCCCTGCAGCCAATCAGCTCCGCCTCGCTTGCTAGGTGGCTAATCAGCGCAGCCCGAGCCGCATCTGGCCCGCGGATTATTATTTTTTTTTTTCTGGGAAGAACTTTTAATTTTAATTCAGTTTCCCTCCCTCTGGCTCTGGGCGGAGGAAAGGGGGTGGGGGAGGCGGGCGCTTCTCTCCTTCATCTGGACCCACGTGGAGAGAGACCCAGGTGTGTGTGGGGGGCGGCCTTGAGTGGGGGGAGAGGTGGACAGAAAGACTGATGGAATAGATCCACACCTAGAGAGAGGGACAGGCAGGCAGAGGCCGCTGACGCAGAGATCGGACACCCAGCGGGGAGGGACAGATGGAGGGAAAAGATGCAGAGAGCGGAGACGGAGATCGGAAGAGAAAAAAATCACAAAATAGGGATAGGCGGGCAGGAGAAACAACACGAAGACAGACGACAGGAGGACTGAAAAGACAGCCGTGTGGTGCAGGAGCAGTAAACAGGCAGAGGGGCAGTCGTAGGGAGAAAGAGAGGTACGAACAGACTCAGAGACAGGAGGTAGGTCCATGTAAGGATCTGGAGGAAGGCAACAGGCAGTCAGGCCCAGTAGTAAGCAGAAGAGACAACTGGCAGGTAGGTGGACACAGCCAGACACATCCCCAGAGGCTGGGAACAGACACACCAGCCCAGAGAGACAAGGGGACAGAGGAAGAGGCTGAGGCAGGGAGACACCTAGAGGGACAGAGGACAATAGGCAGAGAGAGAGAGAGAGAGAGGAAGAGAGGCTGATTCAGGCAGATGGATGGACAGGCCCAGGAGCAGCAGGGGACAGGGACAGGGATAAACACAGCCAGGCCACTATGGACGGACCTCAGACAGATGGAAAGATAGCCTAGCCTAGCCAAAAAAAATGGGCCCTAGATCTTGGGGGGGGTCCCCAGAGAGCGGGGGGGGGCATCTGTGGTTGGGTGGGGAGTGTGTCGCAAACAGGGCACGCCCTAAAGTCCTGGACCCCAGCCCAGGCATTGGGTGGGGCGTGTCCACACCCTAACTGAGGAGCCCCACTGTCTGTGTGTCTGCCTTATATGTGGGTCCGTCTGTTCACTCCCATCCAAGCATGTGACAGGCATGTCTGTCCCAGGCAAGCCATGTGTCTCCTGCAAAGTCAGGCGGATTGGACTTGGGGTCCAGGCCCAACTTCAACCAGGCTGCTGGAGGTCCTGGCGGACAAGAGGCCTCTCTGTCGGGGCCTCTTCACCCTCCTGCCCACCCCCCACAGGGAACAGAGAATTCCCGGAAAGGCCAGGGGCTGGCTGGGGCTTCAAAGCTAGCCTAGATGCCCCCACCCTACCCGCAGTCTGTCAGAGGAGGGTAAGGGACGGGGCGTTAACTTCCCCACAGCAGGAGAGAGAGCCTCCCGCGCTGAGGGACCACAACCCCATCCAGGGCTCAGAATCCGGAGGCCCACTCACTGCCACCCGCAGAAGTACTGACCTGCATCCAGACTCACAGCCATGCACTAGAGAATACGGCCGGACAGAGTCTGCACCTGGAGGGCCCAGGCCTTGGTGTATATGGGTCCCATACTCACAGCTGCACCAAATGACCTCCCACGACAAGGTATCATTGCCCACAGCCTGAGCCTCGCAGCCAGAGAACACAGACAGATGCAGGACAGGCCCACACCGATCTCCAGCCACTCCAGACTCACGGACTCAACGGCCCTACCCCGGGGAGCCAATAGGCACGTCACGCACACGGAGCACACAGATAGGCTTTCATACAGCTGGCAACATCCGCGGGAGGAGTGGGGTGGCAGGGATGGGGGACAGGGTTTCTCGTACAGATGGTTCCCGCTTCAGACAATCCTGAAGGCCATGTCCAGATTCAGACCCCATAATGGTACCTCTGTTCCTGTGAACTCATGTGTGAACTTGTGACCCCATGTGACCACGTAGGGCTCTCCCGTCACAAAGAGGAACATTCACGGGCAGACATGACTGTCCAGAGAAGCTGCAGTCACAGTCACACATGCCGTCTCATCCATACGCGCAGCCACACGCAGCCGTGAATACACAGAGCCATGGGCCAATCAAGTCAGAAGAAACATGTAGGGAGCGTGTCCTAAACACACCATCAATGCAGGTGCATGGACAGGAAAAGCAGGGGTGCAGAGAGGACATTTAACTATTGTGACAAAGAAAATATCCAGAAAATACATCTCAAAGGAACCATGATAGGACCATGCAGTGGCCCCAAGAGAAATACCCATAGGGCGTGCACGCGCGCGCACACACACGCACACACACTTCCCTTGTCTATCCTGACCTGTTCTGATGTCTCTCTCCTCTCATATTCCTCCTCCCCCAGAGCCATTACACATCTGTGACCCAGGCCAGCCAGGGAAAGAGGCACCTGTCGGCAGAGGCCTTGGCCTTCATGGCTATGGAATGTGGGTTGGGAGTTGGGGAGGGTGGCGAGGGGGAGAGGTGGTTAAGCAGGTGTCTAGGTTTCAAGAAAAGTCAAAGCGTCCTGTCCAAAGATCTAGTGTACCTTGGACAAGAAAACAGATGCCCCCACCCACCCCATCTCAGCAGCAGCTTCCTGCTCCGATCAAGATCATTCAGCGCCTGCCCTCCCAGGGCCTTCTTAGGCCCTGCAACATTCCCTGGGGCCAGGCCACCAGGCACACAGCAGGTGCTCAATAAATGACCCTTATCCGGTGTCATATTATCATCATTTTTCTTTTTATTTCTGCCAAGTGACCTCTTTCAGGGGAGGGACAAACCTTCATCCAGCCCTGCGCCCCATAGCTTCCCTAAGTTTCAGGGCAAATGGCAAGTGTTCAACAGACGCTGGTAAGAGGGAAAACAAAGGGAAAGTGAAATCTGGCGGCGGAGGGAGGGCAGCTTGCTTTAGAAGGAACAGATGTCTTTAAGCTTGACCGAGGCCTTGAGTCTGTGCCAGGGATAAGAATGCTTTGTTAGTTCATCGAAGTAAGGTTCTTTCGTGGGGTCATTTGAGGCTTTCGTGGGTTCGGTAAAGCAGACCCTTGTGTGACATTTGGGATTCTGATCGAGTCTATTAGAAGTCAGGTTGGGTTCCCGTCGGTTCTTAGAAGCAGATCCCTGCTTTTCATTAAAACAGGTCACTGCTCAGCCGCCTTCAGGGGAGGGAGCCACAGAGCAAAGCAGTTAACAGCGTGAGCTTTCCCGGCTCTGCCACTTCCGAGCTGTGTGGTCTGGAGCAAGTTCTGAAACTTCGGGGTCGACGTTTCCCCTATGCCCTGCCCCGTGGCAGGGCAGAATAACATCGAACTCTTAGGGCCCCTAGGAAGACTGAACGAAAGAATACAGGTAAAGCACTTAGAACAATGCCTGACCCACCATAATTGCTCAATAACAGACTTGGGAAAGGAATTGATGGATTCTTCGCCGCCTGCGAAAGCAACCCCCCACTGGGCTGCATTTAGGATTCTAATCTCTCCTTTCATGCAGGCTCCCCACTGAGAGACTCTTCCGTCCCTCAAAGCAGCTCCTGGGCAGCAAGGCTTTTTGAGTCTGCGTCTGGTCCCCTGCACCTGGACCACCCCCGTCTTTCCCTCCCCCAGTAAGATGCCCTCCGAGGTACAGAGCTGGCCTGGCAGCTCCCCGCTCCTTGACCTCTTCAGGAGGCTGAGGGGAGGACACCTTTACACTCAGTGGGGTGCCGGGTGGGAGCTGCAGGCCGACACCCTACTTCGGGAAAAGCCTGGGGAGTTCAGAGCCTGGATCCTTTCCCCCAATTCCCCCAGCTCTGCTGGAGGAAGCAAGTTGCTTTGCAAAAAAATTAAACATCCTCTTTGTGAGAGGCAAGAAAACAGGACGTGGGAAGCATCCCACAGGGTGAACATGGGCCCCCCAATGCCTGGCACCCCCTCCTCACTGTGGAGCAGCGGCCAGGTGGCTTGAACCCTTGCTTTCTCACACTTGCTCACCTCCGTGGGGGAGCTGTGTTCTCACCGCCCCCACAAGGCTTTGCAGCGCTGCTGACCGGCTCTTGCTTCCTCCCAGCTCTAGGGGACTCCTCGGGGAAGTGCTTCTCTTCCTGTCTCTGCCCATCTGTCTACACCATCCAGTACCCCCGCATAAATGCAGAATGCACCACGGAGGAAAGAATAAAGGAATCAAGCAACAAAAGAGCAGGTTCAACAAAGGTCTGCTGAACGCCACCTGTCTGCCCGGCCCTCTTGTAGGGCCGGGAGGCAGCCGCGAACAAGACAGAACAAAATTCCTGCCTAGTGAAGCTCGGTATTTCTCGATGAATCAGTCCTTGGTTCTTTGAATACTCACCAAGCTTGTTCTCACTTCAGGGTCTTTGCCCCTGGTGTTGCCTGTGCCTGGAATGCTCTTCCTCCTCTCTACTCCTAGGGTGCGTTTCCCTTTAGGTCTCAGCTCAAATGCCACCTCCTCAGAAAAGTCTTCCCGGATTATATGCTGTCTAAAAGAGCAACTCAGGGGCACCTGGGTGGCTCAGTCGGTTAAACACCTGCCTTCGGCTGGGGTCATGATCCCGGGGTCCTGGGATTGAGCCCCGCCTAGGGTTCCCTGGGGGAGTCTGTTTCTCCCACTCCCCTTTCCCCTCCCCCTGCTCGTGTGCTGCATGCTCTCTCTCTCAAATAAGTAAATAAAATCTTTTTTAAAAATAAAAAAAATAAAAGAGCAACTCAACCCCTCTGTTACTCTCCATCCCTTTCACCCTACTTTATTAGTCTTCATAGCTTTTATCACCACCTGACATAACATTATATATTTACACATATAATGGTACATTTAATTTAGTACAGTTATTTTAATAAGTAAATGTGTATAGATATCAGTATATTTATATACATCAGTACATACATTTAAATATGTGCATAAAATATGTGTATTGTATATATACACTACAAAACGCATAAATATATTTTTTCTTATATTTATATTTATTTCATTTCTTACTAATATATCACCTATACACTAGTGAATATTATACATCACTATATTTCTCTATAATCACATACATATTAAGCAGCATACATGTTTATACACTTAACGTAATATATAGCCTCCCTGTGTATCTATAAACTGGGGATAGTTGCAATAACTACTTCACATGGCTGTTATTAGGATTAAAATGAGTTCAAGGAAAGAATCCAGCAGTGCACTGGAGCTTCACACAGGTTTGCAGACTGCTTGTTCAATTTTCAGGAATTTTGCAAACCAGCTGTTACACAGCTATTATTTAAAATGAAATAATATAAACTTACAATTAAATAAATTAGATTATTTAAAAGGCGATACTCACATCTCGTCACTTCCTGATTATTTTACTACATTTCGCCATTCTCTATGCTCCTGAGGTCATTTACCCCTTTGAATGGTATGGTAGAAATATTGCATAATGGCGCACTACTGCATCTCTTCCTAACTCTGTGTTCCGTGACTACACGTTGGTAATTTAAAATCTGACAAGATGATGGTATAGAAACTACGGAAAACTGGCAAATGTGACAAATCAGGGTTTCCTACCCACACCCCCACCTAAAGAACCGGTTGTTAGAACAGGTGCTTGGTGCATGGTAAACGCTTTAATGAATGTTTCCATTACGTATTTACTTGTGCACCGGGTCGCGATGCAGTCTATTTAGTGAGTCGAAGTTAAAAATGTTTGAAGAACACAGAATTACAAAAGGACAGACACTGTGCTGAACTACACCTATTCAAATCCTCTCCGTAACTCCGTGAAGCTAGACTACTTTTTTATCCCCATTTTTCAGAGAGAGAAACTGAAGTTCTGAAAGGGTACAACTCACGCAGCGCTATCAGTTGGCTGAAGTGGATATGAATCTTGCCACAGACCGGCTTCCGTGCTCTAGCGCACTTAATTAACGTACTTTCCTAACTCTCACGTTTCCGACCCTAGTTGTAATTTGACTTCGCGGCACGCCTAAAATGAATGGGTTCGGCTGTGCCCGTTGCGTCTTGGGAAATGTAGTCCCCAGTGAACACGCCGGCCCACACCTTGGAACAAAAGAAAAGTGGGTTCTGACGCCTCGCGACGTTTCAGCCTCACAGGGCGCGACTTTGGCCGCTCCGGTCGGCCCCGTTGCATGCTGGGAACGGCAGTCCGCGAGACGAGCTGCGTCGACACAAGATGACGGCAGCTCACGTTGTACGTTCAGGTCGGGTCCGCGCGGTACCGGAGACTTCGTGCTCCACGATGACAGGCTCACCACGCCGCGGGAGCCCGTAGGCATGCGCGACAGTTTTTCGGACCGACTGAGAACTCAAACTGAAGCCTTACAGTTTCTGGCGGGTCTGCGCTCTCGCCGAGTCTCGGGCTGCTCACGGACCGGTCTCTTCGTGCCCCTTCTCCCCATTCCGAAAGCTGAGGTAGGCTCTGGGGCGCGGAGGACGCGGGTCTAGGCCGAGACGGTTGAGGCACGCCTTGCGCTGTCCCGCCGGCGAGGGAAGGAGGGAAGTTCACCTTCCGTGCTGCAGCCTTGCAGTCTGGGCGTCTGGTGCCGTTTGGGCTCCAGACCCAAGGTTTGTGTGGAAGGGAACCGCTGTGCGGGGTGGACTGGGTTG